GTTTTACACAAGGCGGTACCAAATATACGAAGAGAGAACAGAGTAAACCTGTATAGTATACGCTTCCTTCCCATCGCACCATAGACTTCATCTATGCTCCCGCAGAAGTCAAGCGCTCGCGCAACTGCGTATAAATCCACGCAATCTGTACGATTGTTCTACTTAGCAATAAATAAATATCCATTAGAGTGAATTTAGATCACATGAAGTATCCGAAGCCGAAGGTTCGTTTTATAGCATCCCAGTAATACCTGTCCCAATTCTCCTTCGTAGAGAGCTCCTCACTGAAAATCACGACGTTTCCGCATGATGATTTTACTTGTCAATAATACCGTTAAATTTTAACAGAAAGTCATTGTTCTCAAGTTTACCTCACTGGAACACCGCTCTGTGTTAAATTGACTTCAGTATGATCATTTTTTTCACAGATATCGATCGTAACATCGCTGAAATGTCCGGACGGCCACTGTTTACAACGCCATTTTTGGATAATTTTCGTTGGAGTGATCTCTATGAATTCGCCGTGAATATTGCCACCGAATAATTCAAATTGACCATTTTTCTTCGGCTCTAGCTTTACCGGGTTCTTCGTAAATGCTTGTACCATCTGTGAAAATTAAAAATTCTGTTATAAGTTGGCTAGTGGCTTAGTTTACATTAATACCGTCTATATTGAGACAATAATTTGGTAAAATTATTACCTCGATCGAAGAGAGGACGTTGTAAAATTCATCCGCTCTGCATTGAAATTTTACATTTTGCTTAATTGTAGTAGTTGAGATTTTACAGTTTGCTGTTTTGTTATTGTTCGTTGGCGTCATTGCAGCATTCATTTGCATCTTGAGAGGAAATACATTATTAATTATTTTACTACTTTATATTATAAATATGTTATACATACTTTAATATTAAAACCAGATGTTATATTAGAAATATTTTCCTTTTCTTTATCGTTATCTTTTTTAGGAAGTATCATTCCTTTCGTAAACTCTGCAAATAAAAAAAAATGGATTACAAATGTTATATTTTTTTTTAAATATGAGCAATTTACATCACAAGTTAGTAAATTAACTTACCTTCTTTTAGAGAAGATACATATTTCTTTAATTTTTCTCTTATTGCATCTTTACCCTTAGTATGTAAGAATTGTTTAACTTTCTCTCCTTCATCTGTACTATCTTTTAATGTAACTTCAATCTATAAATTACAAGACATTTACATGTCTATTTAAATTCTGGCATAGCAATTTAGTAGTATACTATCAAAGGAAAACTGATTACTGATCGAGAAACCAACATTAAAATGAAACAAATAATAGTTTTAACCAGATTGCCTAATTTAATAATTATATAATTCAATTAAAAATACTTACATCTACTTCACTAATATCATTTTCTTCAGAGAGATTAGGAATATTAATTTTACCCTCAATATCTTTACTGGAGTTTCCATCTGATATCCATTTAAGAACAATATTCCATTCATAAAAGAAAATAAGTTTCCCTTTTCTATTATTTGCTATCGCCTCACCTTCACATTTTTCCATTTCTGTTATTTTACATAATACTACAAATTGAAATAAGATTTATGGATAAAGTTTAAAAATATTATAATTTCAGGACATAGTATAGTGTTCCATTTTCATAAGATATGATAAAATGTTTTAGATGAAAGCAGAACGGTTTCAAAAAAAAAACATTTTGATCACGTCGCTTTTTTTAGGTGAAAGCGCTAAAAACATATGAAGATCACCTTTACTTTTTTATATGAAATTATATAATTATTTTACATATTATTCCACTAATTTTTCTGCATATAAAAGTATTAAGATAGAGATATTAAAAAGCAAGTTAATGAGATATTTTATACTGTATTCTGATACACATATTAACGTTAAATGTCTTTATTAATATCTATTAATATTTGATTTTTTGATAATTGTGCCTTAATACTTTTGTGAACAGAATATTGAAATTAATCAATTGCTCGTTTAAAAAATTATCCATTCTCCAATTTTTTTTCATTTTTTGATATCTCTACCTTAATATTTTTATATGCAGAATTAGAAGAATCATATTAATTAAAAAAACCAATAACATAATCAAAACATAACGTATCCCTCGAAATCTTTCTATCTGAAATATTTTTTCATATCATATTTTTCAAGATATTTGCCTGTGGCAATTAAAGAGACACTTTACATATTCTTTCCAAATTTCCAATTTTATAAATGCATGTTACCAACCTCCTTCTCCCTCAATTTTGAAATTTATAAAAAGTTCTTTCAACTTTTCTTGTGACCATGCACAGGCATTCTTCTCTGTCCTACAGAATAATTTTAATACATTAAAAAGTATAAAGAAAAAAACCACACTTTGAGAAACAATCAAATGCTGATATACATTATTAGAATCGAATAGTCGACTTAAAGATATTTCAACTAATACGATTATGGAGCAACATACCAATGCCAGTTATTAACATTGGTTGCATCAGGTCTCTCTTCCACAATCCAACGTGGATCGCCTTCGCCCCATTTTGCCATACTTCCAAGTGGTTGTCGGGAATTTAACAATAACGTTCCGAGCCAAGCACACTGGAATTGGAGCTCAAGGCAATTTCCAATTCGCAAAGCCGTTGGAGATAAATCGAGATCGCCGAGCTAACCTTCTAGAAAACTCAGTTTTCCAGAACAGCAACTGAAACTCGCCTGCGTAACATAACCTATGTTTTAAACGGTAACGAGATGACCATCAGCGTCGATGAACATCCGTTAATGAAGAGATCCATTGTGATTTTTTTCGGCATATACGCGTTACTTACTTACGAGTCGTCCTACGAACTGCGGTTAGCAAGCGTTCCGAGTTTAATGTCGGGCCGCGTTTTTCGGGACGGCTCGCTCGTAAAATGCAAGTGTTCCGTTTGCACTTACGAGGTGTTGCTTCGCGCGGTGGTTTATCGTGGGACGACGACAGAACCCGCTGTCAGAGTCAACAATGTCGATTAATAATACTGATTCGCTCGCGAATCACCAGTCTAGACTGCCATAAAAACGAATCTGATTATCTGACGCTGACCGAATTGGCGTGCAAGCCGCGGAGCATGTTCGAGCATTCTGGAAACTTCGACTGGGATTGATACCGAGGTGGCGCACTCACGCGATTTTCGATCACGGTGTTACAAATGGCGGAATTTTCTCCGGCGGCATATATCAATTTGCTGATCTTAATTACATATTGGAATTACTGTTCGCGATTATTAGATAACTTATAATTAACAATGCACTAATTTATCGGCTAGATTCTGCATTCTCCTTTATATTATCATTATTTCGATGCTTAAGGACGATGTTTTGTTTTTAAGAATAAGTTTTCTTTTTTTTTTTTTTAAATTAAAACATAAACTTATTTTTGGTCAAAACGGATTTTAGGTGCTTAAATATTTTAGAGTGATTTTATATACATATTTAATTCTGCAAATCGCGCGAAATCTTTTTTAGTCTTGAAATATAATCATGAACACGAAGTAGAGAATAGTATAATAATATAATATAATATATAGTAATTTAATAATTTTTGATGTCAATTCTTTCTTTTAAGTAACGATTATCTTTAACAAAGAATTATTTTCTTGATGAATAATTCTTATAAAATATCCTTATTACAAATTTTAGAAAAACATTGATACTTAAAACAAGATGTTCTTTTGAGGAATATTATAAAATTGATCAAAGAAATGGCTTTATATAATAAATAAATTAAATATGTTTTAATTTAATAATCTTAATTAAAATGTATAGAATTTAGAATAGGTTTTGAATAAGGTTTGATGCTTGATAGATTTGCGGATATATAAACTTTTGAAATATTTGAAACAGATAATTGTTATTTGCGTATACAATATGTATGTTTTTTTGTGTAAATTGCCTGAATAAGTTTCGATTGAACACCCCGTGTATGTAATATTCTAACAACAAGAAAAACGTAGAACGAATTTAAATCAAAATAATATTGTGGTTTTCTCCAAAAATAAATTAAATATACATACATATAAATTTATAAATGAATATATTATATATATGATTTATTTTTGGAGCCACAAAGCTATTTTATTTTATTTTACGTGGGACATTCTCAATTCCCAGTCTCTGTGCATCCAGTGTTTCAATCCAGATTGGAATTTGGATTGACTTTTTATATATAATAATTCTGTGAAATCTATTGAGATTTAGAATCGTTTGCATCGTGATTGCTTACAGCGAAACATTTGCAGAATATCAGACATCAAAGAGAACAAAGAGAACAAAGGGAGAGAGTTTTATTACATTTCTTTGTCAAATTATTTATTACACATTACAGATAAGATCATTGTCACAGTCACGGCGAACGTTTCGCTTGTATTATTTTGATCTTCTTGAACAAAAAGTCATCCTCTTATATTACTCGAGTGTGTATAACAGTATTTGTTCTAATATTACTAATTCGACTTGTCCACGAATGAATCTCGATCATGTTTATCGTATATCTTTAAATCCGATTCCACCAATGTAGGATTAACTTTAATCTCGGTTTAATTTATTCTTTATCTACTCTAATTCTTAGAATTACAAGTATTAGAATTATCTACTCTAATACTTAGAATTAGTCTTTATCTTAGAATTTATTTAAATTTTAGAATTAGAAAAAGAGTGAACTGAATTGAGATTAAAAAAATTAAACTTATATTGATGGAACCAGACTTAAGAGCAGAGATCGGCTTTGAAGTTATTATTATCATTATATATTGAATCTCGTTAATAAAAAAGTCATGGATATTTGTTTTCTTCCTCAATACAAATATCTATATAACCTTTGATTTCGCTTCTTTATTCGCAAAGCCCAAGATATTCTTTGGTTCTTTACAGAAAAAACGCCGATCCCTGTTCAAGATATATATAATAATCGATCCTTTTAATGCGCTAAAAAAAGATCGGTATTTAATTGCAAAAAAAAGTCAGGGGTCTATTTATATTTGTAGCCCTCTTGCGCCGGTCCTGGAGCGGGATAAGTAGCGGTTCCTTCGTATCGTATCATCGGCCGATACCCGTTCTGATCGGCGATATAATCGACAAATTGGGTCCTACCATCTGGCAGCAGCACATGATACGTTCCCGTGGCCTCCATGTCCTTCCTCATTTCGCGATGCCCAAAGTCTAGACCTGCCGCCGCGTCCTGGACCTCGTACGAAAACTCATAGTTCGCTGGATCCTAACATAAGTTTCAATAAGAACGACATGTCTAATAATAGCGGGAACAGGTGATCGATTGGTATTTTAAAATGAGATGAAAATTACAAAAGTGAGAAAGTGTTACTAAATGTTTTAATAAAATTATAAATATTTTAGTAAATTTGCTCTTTTGTCACTTTCACCTCATTTCAAGATACACAGCGATCCCCAGAAAAGTGTCACAAGGAATAAGTTCCACTTGACATTTGCAATATTTACGAGCATTCACAGAAAGAAGTTTTGCTAAAGTATTTAAAAATTATGCTACAGATTTGAAAATAATTTTGTTAAACTTCTAAAATAATTATATAAGACACTCCAACTGATTGCTAGAATGTTAAAACTTTTTGCAGCATTATTCATCATGTTTGAGTTTCCTACATAATTATTTTGATAGTTCAACTTAAAGTTTTTAGATCTGTATCTACCTAAATTTTTAGATATCTTACGCAGAAAAAAATTTGGTTGAATTAACTGGAATTCTGATGGAAAATGAACGATTCGAAATTCTGGTTGAGTTCTTAGATTTCTGATTAAATCTACTGAATGTTGATTATTTCAACTAGAATTTTAGATTTAATCTAATAGATTTAACAAAAAATCTTGTAGATTTAATTAAATTCTGGTCCGTTCATTTTTCATCAGAATTCTAGTTAATTCAACTAAACATTTTTTCTGTGCAGCAAAATCATTCTTTTTTGCCCTAGTTTAAATTTGATAAACAACAAGGTTGTATTTAACAGAGAAAACAGCAATTGTCATAAATTTCTTCAGTATGATTGCCCTTAAATCCTCATTAGATCTATAAACCAATTATATTAAAGAATTTTACAACAGCAGTAAAATTGCTTTCTCTGTTTAATTTAGTCAATCAATGGCTGCTTAACAGTTGAGAGAGTGCTCGTTGTTATTAGTGTTCTAAATAATTCTTATATATCATCTAATCAGACTTTTTTAGATCTAGAAGAATACATTAATAATACCGAGCGCTCCGTGATTTTTTAATAGTTGGTTCCTACACTTATTGTTAAGTCCAGCAAAGAACTAAGGCAAGTAATCAATCATTAAAGAATCACTCACACGAGCGTTTATTCAGTTTTCTCTACTTAACGCAACTAATGATATTCGCAAGTGTTGCGAATGTCAAAGAGAACATATCCAAGAATCACATATTGCACATTCTGAAAATAAATAAAGTGAATCTCGACGATTAGCGGATCTCTAATGATTAAGATTCAGTTTCACAACTTATGGTTAACTTAATCGAGGTTTAACTTATTCCTTTCCTCTTTCTAATGCTAGAATTGGAAAGAGATTGGAAAGAAATAAATTGAATCTCGGTTAACTGTGAGTTATGAAACTGAGCTTAAGTCATCGTCTAGTCTGAAGGACCTCGCACCAATCTTATGAAAAATGTTTTTTTGCGGATTTGACTAATTTTTGGATATGTTGTAGTTCTCTTTATTCTGAACAAGTCTCAATGGGCACAACTTGATCCTATAAGCTTTGAAAGATCCAGATTTTGGACATGATTACTGGACCTTTCAAGACTTATAACGCGAAAACGGCTCATAAGATCAAATTGTGCTCATTGACACTTGTTTAGAATAAAGAGAATTATAACATATCCAAAAATTAGCCAAATCCGCAGAATAGACATTTTTCATAAGATGGGTATGGGATCCTTTCTCTTATATTTCTTTTTTTTTCTCGAAGTTATTTATTATATATAATAAATACATACTTACACCGGCCCAATCGTCCGGATGACCGGTCCCGCCTCCTCCAGTACGAGGACCAGGTGGAAGATAAGCCGGACCTTGCGGTTCGTTCCGAACTCCTACTAGAAACATCGCTAATAGTGTCGCCTGTGCGAAAGAAGAAACACGGAAACTTGTACACGTATTGATGAAAAAGAAAGATTCTGACGTAACGAATTAATGAGAAAACGATTTCGCACCACTGATGCGAACATGTCTTGCGCACCATTCGATGCAAAATGATAAATAAATTAATTAAATGTGATTAATTATATTATGATATAAAGAGAAGCTTTTTTACTACAAGAAAAAGAGTTGATTAACTCTTTATCACATTTGCCGATTTACAAAATCTTTCGCAGAATTTTAATGAAAATTCTACAAAATGCTTCCGCGAACCATTTGTACCAACCTTACGGATCATTAGAAATTCGATAAAATTGTACGATCGTTCGCGAAACTGAGATGGTTCATCTTGACAACCATGGTTTTATAGCGCCCAATTCAGTTCCGACGGGACGATGATTGGAGTACGCAATATTCGTTATTCGGAGAGTTTTGGTGCGATCGCATAACTATAATTACGGTTAATAATAAAACCGCAGATTTCTGCAATGGGTCTAATCATTCGTTCGATGTAATCGCGATGATTCCTGATTCTGCAATTGTCGAAATACGAAGCCATGTCTCTTCCTCTTCGTTATATTTTCAAGTGATTCGTAACGATCAGAGGAGATGTCTCGTTCTTAAAATTGGATTATCGAATTTTAAAAAGATTTAATTACTTTACTGTCATTCTAAGCTGTTATTATGACACAAAATTCACTAAATAGACAAATCCAGAATTTATTTCTGTTAATATTATTATTAAGAGACCGATAAAGCGTTCAGATAGTTTCTTAATTCTATGTGAAAAACGCGTTTGGCAATATTCCAAGAATTTGTTAGCGGGTTTGCTCGATGGTGATTGCCATATAATTTGCATGAAAGCCTTACTCAAGAGATAGAGATAACAATAAGTTAGATTAATAGTTCTCCTTTCGATTGCATCACTGTTTTTTCCGTAGGCAGATACATCGCAAGATTTAAATGATGTGTTGCAAAATATCGTAATAGATATCACGAATCAAATTGCAACAATAAACGATGTGACTTTAAAGTAGTATTTTACTTCACATTAATTCACTTAAGGATGTATCACATTGTATAGTCCCTGCAAAGAAAATTAATTTGGAAATGTATTTAATATTTACACTTTAAATAAACTACGTACATATGAAAATTGTGTGAATAAGATTATATTTCTATTTAATAATATATTTTTGTTTCGTTTAGTTATTTTATTTGTTATTTTTAAAAATTAAAATTTAAAAAATGATAACAAAAATCTAATTTTTTTTATGTAAGTTTTTTTAAATATTCAAAATTATTTATGCAAAGTTTCATTCACTAATCAGTTACAATAAGGATATTTAGAACAAATAAATATTTTATTTATTTACTAGGCAATTAGTTCATGTAGTTATACATGAATAATTTTGAATACATTATGTACTTATATTTAAAAAATTGAAATTTTTGTTATTTATTTTATACATTTCCATATATTTTTATTAGAGCACAAATTAAACAAATATTCATACTACTATTCATAAAAATAACTTACAATCCAGATAAAATTTCATCAAATTTCATCAAATTAGGCATATTATTTTCAAATATGATTTAAAATAATTTGTAATTTTTTCATAATTTTATCATTTTAAAAATATATATAAAATATTATTAAAGAGGAACAGTTCGCGTTAGATAAATCTTTTAGTTCGTGCATCATAGACACTTGTTGCTAAAAATTTCTATGAAATTATAAGTGAATGAACAAGAGAGAGAGAAAAAGAGAGAAAAACATTGTCTGCGTTTAGCAGAAAAAGCAACTTCCCAGACAACAAAGTCCGTAATATCGTGATATAAAACATCTTAAAGATGTTTTAAAATAGACTTAAAGATATTTTTGTGAGAACAGTCCAGAAGACTTACAATATATCCATTTTTACTAATGTAAATTAACTTTGACCTCGGTTTAATTTACTCTTTACCTTTTTTTTATGTTTAGAACTGAAAAAAAGAGGACAAAGTTAAATCGAGAGTTAAACTACATTAATAGAAACGAGCATTAAAGATATTTTTACGAGAACAGTTTAAAACTTAATCTAAAATGTACTTTTTGCTTCCTATTTCTTTATAATTTTTACTTCTTGCCTTTTTCTCTCTTTATGACCGTTTTATCGACAATCGTGTTCCTTATCTCTTTCGAAGTGAACTTTTATTTTAGACAGAAAACGAAAAAATTGTGCTATGTACAAGATAAGAAGTAAAAAGGCAAGAGATAAAAAAGTAGTAAGAAGCAAAAAAGAAAAGAACACGGTGTAAATTAGGCTTTAAAAACATATTATAAACGACTTTTACAATTAAAAACGTTTTAAATTTTATGTTATCTGAGTTTATAACTGTTATAAGATTTTTTAATATGATTATTTAATGCTAGTATCCACCAATGTATTGGGTTGTCCGGAAAATTCGTGCCGCAAAAGATTTAAATAAATGTATACTAAAATTTAAATCTTCTGCGTTTCAATTTTCTTTCAAAATCGACACGAACTTTCCGGACAACCCTACATAGATTAACTTTAATTTCGGTTCAACTAACTCTTTATCTTTTACTAATTTTTAGAATTAGAAAAAACTGAAGAGTTAGTTGAACTGAGATAAAAATTTATTACATTGGTGTAGAAGCGGGTATTAGACATTTACAGTGAGAGCAAAAAATATTCGTACAAGGAAATTTTTTATTAAAATAATCTTATTTGTAAAAAATAAACATTAATTAACAATTTTATACAATGAATATATTCTGTTCTAACATAAATAAATGAGCTTCGCGTGTATTCCTGATTTTAGAAAAATTTTATTTTTTATATTTTAGCTAAATTTAGATTTTAGCTAAATTTCTCAACTGCACGAATACTTTTTGAGCATCTAAACAATAGAATCTTTAATTTTTGCTTATTTTTCAGATGATATATTTTCTAATAATTAATACACATATCTAATAATTAATACTCTTTTTCATATATATAATTTTAAGAAACATACATCTATATTTTATTTTTTATTCTTTATAAATAAATTGTTAATTTCTCAGCAAAAAATGATTGTCAATTAAACATCGAATCGATGTCGAATTAATGTTGAAATCATCATATCGATTCGACATCAATTCGATGACTCATTTCTCACTGGATATTTATTTTTTTAAAATAAAGATTTTTTTTTTAATATTTTCTCTGCACGAATACTTTTTGCACCCACTGTAGATGTAGTGAGAAACCAAAAGCAAATTGAGAGGATGGGCAGAATAAAGGCATAATTCTACTTAGGCTCTTTTTCCGGCAATTAACTTTTTCATGTAATTATCGTAATAGAGAAGTATTATAACAAGTAATTTCTTAAAGACATTATATAAATTCATTTGATATTGTATTCATTTGTATATAATAAAAAAGGACTCAGTAAAAAATTTTTCATGCATGAATATGTATAAATATACATAAACACGCATAAATATTCATAATATATATATAATTATATATGAAATATGTCCATACATATTCAAGCATCCTTCTTTCTTTCGTAAAATTACTTTTTAGTGTAATAGAAATAATAATAGTAATGTGAAAACATAAAAAACAATTAAAAGGATAATCTTCGCATTGTTTGTTTTTAGAAAAAAATAAGTTTGGAAAAATATTAAAAAATTAGCTCATACATAATTATGCGTAATTTTAATTATACATAAATAATTTTTTACATTTCTTCAAACATATTTATGCATGAAAAATTTTTTACCATAGCAAATTATTTTAATTTTTATTAATATCAAGATTTTGTAATTAGTTCCGCCCATCCTCTCAATTATATATATTAAAGAATTTTATAATAATTGTAGCTGTTTTTTCTGCTGAATGCAGCTATTGTTGAAATATTTTAATGTTGTAAAATGTAAATTGTAATGGATATTTTATAACGCACGTGTAGTTTTCACTGAATGGACGAGCAGAATAAGCGGTAAATTGAGCGTTATAGGAAGGAGTTTTTTTTCAACGTTACGTTGCCAGGCAACATGAAAACAATTCCGAGAACTGTGAATGCGCCTGAGGCAAACAAATTTCGTGGAACCGAGTTTTTCCGGATCAGGCGAGTCTTTAATATATTTTTGACAGTTTTAATTCATTTAATTTTCCGATTGACGATTTATTATCGTACGCTGATTTAACAAATACGTTGCAGTAACTTTTTACTTTCTTTTCACACAAATATAGAACTTCACAAATTGCGTTATGAACTTATCGTAAAGCCAATCTATGCAAGCTAAGCAAATTACATGCGATTTGCCGTTTGTATGAAATTCGTGAAGCACGAATAGATAGAGTCGAGTTTGCATTGTCATTTAGTATTCGTACCGGTTCGCCAGTGATTTTTCGACAACATCAAAGCGAATCGTTGCAAATGAATAAATTGTATTAGTTCGTATGTACGGAAAAAGTTACATTAAACAAGCAAATAAATGAGTCGCGAATAGTAGTATAGTATATTTTTGTCTAATTGTTTAATGTAATTAAGATTGAATGAGTTATATGTTATACTCACTTTTATTATAAAGAGATTTATGGACAATATTTAATCATAGTCATTTCTATATATGAATAGAAATTTCTTATTTATACATCACATAAAACACTTCATGTATGTATTTATATATTTACATATAAATTTATATCTACATAAAATTTATTTATAAATTCTTTTACATTCCCTGAAAGACTCGTTACTATATTAGAGATTGAAGTTGAGAGAGAGAGAGAGAGAAATATTTAATTTAACAAATCAAAAGAAAAAAACCAATAATTTAGTGAATTTTGCTTTTGATCAAATTCGATCTCAATCTTCTGATATGGATATTAAGAAATATAACAGAACTCAAATTTCACGTAGATATGAATTTGTTACTTATAAATGTAAATATGTATACAAAAAATTCAAATACATAAATACAAGTAATTAAGAGCAGTTAAAGAATTATTAGCAAATGGTTAATACGAGACTGCCACGGCAAATGCTTCTGAAAACCAATAAAACATTTCAACGCGTCGTAGTATCGCGATATGTTAGCAATATTGTATTTTAAACACAACGGCTTATACCTCAACATGACCTTGTTAACTGCGAAGTGAGTCGCGCCGGCCGGTAGCCGGCCATTCGCATACTTCAAGTCTATGCCATTGTCGTGTGCGGACGAATTATATGTTTCGCACGGCATCGCGCATTTAGCCGGTAATTCTATCAAATCGAGTGCTGTCGGGGATAATATCGGCAAGTGATTCATCATGGGTGTCAGTGCGAACGACGAATCTCGGAAGATAAATCAAATATATGCGTGATTACATTCAGTATATTCGCTATCAGCATCGCATCAGTACCTTTTTTGAACTCATTGGACGCGTTCAAGCTGAATAAATTAAGAAATTAGACTGCTAGCCTAATTGTCGCGAGCAAATGAATAGAATTGCTTGTTGTTTATAGATCCAACCAATCACATTTAATCGTTCGGCGAACAAGCTAGCTTTGTCTTGAACTTGCCCATTGCGTTTTTATTTTCGTAGAAATCTTATTCGAAGACTTCACAGGTTTTCAGTATTGCACGTTTTTTCTCGGTGATTCTGTCGAATTTAGCGTAAGCAATAATTTGCGAACGAAAATGACTGCATGAACAACGAAATTTTGTGATTAATAATTAAGTCGTGAAGTGAGCTGCGCACCGCCGGCCGATGGAACATGGCGCTTAGTTCAGTCTCTATTCGAGTCTCCAGGTCGCAGATGGATGGACGCTTCATGCAGCGTTGTGTGTTTCCTCGACAATTCAGTTGAATTAGTGTTACTTGATAAAATGGGAACAAAGTGATCGTATGAACAAGGAATTTTACGATGTCGCGAAGTGAGCTACGCGTCGACAACCGGTAGAGCGGGGCGCTCATTCAGTCTATACCGTTGCGTTGTGCGCGAATGGACGGACATTTTACGCAGTAAATTATATTTATTATATTGTCCTTTTCCTCGGTATTCTGTCGAATTTACAACTACCAGAAGCAATAATTTGAACGAAAGTGAGCAATGAATTACGCGATTAAGTTGCAAAATGTACTCTCGCGAACGTACGTATTTTTTCGAGGTCGTCCCGCCGTGTTACGTTTTCAAATTTTGTCGTTAATACAAAATTGTCGTAATTTTCATGAAAATCTCGTGCGTAGATGAACGCTTCTTTTCTCACACATTTCGTTCTTAATTTCATCGAACTGGGCGATGCCAAAATGACTGAAATGATGATTGAAATGGGAATGAGTGTATATTTGCGACAAGTGTATAATTATTGCAATCAGACAAGGGTGAGGGTTCCTGGAAGAGCCGGACAACAGAAGTCACAACATCCTAGGCATCAGCGTGTCAGCATCGCGAGGTAGATGAAACATCAAACGATGAGTACTAAACTGAATTATTCATCTCACGCAACAATTAATTCTTTTCTACCGATTGATGCATCGATTTTCCTCGCCGGTGCGTTCATTTGATTTTTGAATGTTAAATCGATTAAGGATGACAGGATCGTTTGGTATTATTGAGATAATACTTAATTATTCTCTTTCAAATTTATGCAATTTGCATCAAAATAATATTATTAAAATATTATCACGAAGTATTGAAAATTACACACATTCTTTAGCTACCGTCAAGTTCAGAAAAAATTTCTTTGAAGAAGGATTTGCGATTCATAGGCCTGATTAACAGGATGCTTTATTCTCTTTCAAATTCAGTATTCATTTTGCATTAAAATGCTACGGAATATTGAAACATGAAAATCATGTGTCTTTGATCGCCATCAGATTTAAAAAAATATTTTTTTCGAATGAATTTATACAAAGGCCTGATTTACAAAATTTTATTAACATTAACGTGCTAGTGAATTTTTCCAGTGAATTATAGAAAACTAGAAACTAAAAAATATCTTAAATTATATTTTTTAACTACCATTCTTGTAAAAAAAATTTTTTTTAAATTTTTGATTTATAATTATAATTGTAATTATATTTAAATTATATTTATAATGATAGATATTAAAAAAAAATTTTAATTATATTTTTTTATTTGTTTTCTAATTTGCTACAAGATCAGCATGGTAGTTGCTAGTAAAAACATCGTGTAAATCAGATTTATATCGTAATAATAAATTTTCCGAGCCAGTGATCAAACACAACCTATCGATTAAGGTAAATTCCTGGAACTACGAGAAAATGCGAATTTCATGGAACTGAATTCCGACTTCTTTTGCATCTATGTTATGCAGAATAAAATTTTTTTTAATTTTTTGCAGTGATTTTCTTGGAAATAATTTTCCGTAATGATACAAAATATATTTATGATTTTCGATAGCAGCGAAATAGTGTGTTTTTAAATTAAAAAGAAAATTTATAAAGTAGTATTAAATATTAATTAAATATATTTAAACAGCATCTATCTTTCTTCTTTCTCAGAATAAAAACGAATTATTTATCTTGAACAAGATTTATAATATTTCTTTTCTATTATATTTAGCGGATTCTATTATGCATTTATTCCAAAAGAAGTATTTTTCTCTTTTTTCCTCTTTCAAGGAACGAGTATTGCAAATTTACAACGTTCACTTTAAAATTAAATTCGAGATATATTCAGAAAATAAATTTTAAATCGCGCAAATTATATTTAGTTAAGAACTTTAGATGGAAATGAATATACGTAGCATTGAATTAAAATAAAGTATAACTTCTACCTCCAGAGAGAAAAACTATATCAACAAATATCATAATTTGATATTGATTCTTCTTTTAGTCGTTTTTTAAGTCGTTTTTTAATAAAAACAGTAAAAAAATTGTTTTTTCACTGGCAAGACGATTCTCTCTCTCTCTCT